TTTCTTCTTCAATAGTGCTTTGCTTATCCGAGGTCTCTTTCCTTTCCATATAAAGTTAGTGACTGGTTTTTCCATATCCCTAAAGAATGTTGATGAGATCTGGATTGGGATTGCACTGAATGTATAGATTGCTTTGGGTAGAATTGACATTTTCACAATGTTCAATCTTTCTGTCCATGAACATGGGATGTTCTTCCATTTATGTAGATCTCTTATGGTTTCTTGAAGTAGTTTTTTACAGTTTTCTTTGTAGAGGTCTTTTGTGTCCCTGGTTCAAAGCTTCTTTTTTATACTAGTATTCTGCCTTGAGAAAGTCTGAGGTAGCTCAAAGCTATTTTATAAGAGAAAGATTAGTTAAATGTTACTTTTCTTGCTTTATTTATATTGTTTTCTATAATTTAAAGACAAATTTTTTAAATATAATTATTTTGGTTTCCTAGTGCTGCTCTGACAAGAATTTGCCACAAATGGGATGGCTTGAGTAAACAGGAGTTTTATTCTATTACAGTTTGGGAGACTAGAAGTCCTAGTTCCAAGTGCCAGGCTCTAGGGGCTGGGTGAAAGCCCCTTGAGCTTCAGCTCTGCCTCCTGCATCCAGCCCGCTGAAACTGGAGGCTTTTCTTCACTTAGGCAGCTGCTGGCTGCTGAGGCTGACAAACCCAGGGACAACAAGTAAAAAGGCAGTCCTGATGTTTCCAAACCACACGGCAGGTCATTAATTCAAGTCCATTGAAAGTCCCAAGATCAGCAGAGCATGGCAGGCTGCTGAATGAAGTCTCAGCTACATGCTAGGTTTAGGTGTGCCAAAAAGCTAGAGACCTTCATCAAAGTTGCTGCTTATATGCTGGAAGCAGACCACATCTCTAAAACAGCTACTCAGCTGCTCCAATAAATTCTACCATGGAATTGATTGCCAGTCCCACCATGGGGAATAACTGCATCCAGCTGCCTGGCCATTCAACCAGGCCCATCCAAATTGACAACAACCTTAACTACCACAATTCCATCCCTTGTCAACTTGGCACTGGTACAAATCTCCATTGGGTGGCATCTATACAGATATTCTTCACTGGGTGGCTCCAGTCCCCTACCTAGTTCCTCTGAGTGGTGACCTCACCCTCTTGGCCTGGCAGGCCCTGTTCCTCTACCTCTTGGGCATAGCAGCCCTGCCCCCTCACTCTTGGTCAGCAGCTATGGTTCCTTCCCACTGGCCCACATGAATGAGCAGCCACACACTCCAGAACCAAACTGATGAAGGTCTGACTCTTTGGAACCTAGGAACCTAGGGGATTCCACCCCCAAAAGACATGGTCCTACCCTTGAGGTTGAGGCAGCTTTGCTTCCAGTTTCCTTGGTCTCCCCGCTTCTGCTGATTAATGCCAAAGGCAACCCACTCCGCCAGAAATCTTCCTGCCCCCAAAACCACTACGCTTCCTTGCTACATGAGCTGGCCAACCTGCTACTTCATTTCATGCTGGTATCTTCTACCAATTAATGCCCAAAGGCAACCCACTCTGCCAGGAATCTGCCTACCCAGTGGCATTCAGCTTTTTCTTCTGAGGGCTGGTAAACCTGTTGCTGTCTAATGCTGGTCTCTCGGCTCTGCTACTGTCATCTCTTTGCTGGTGTCTCTCTGCTGAGTTTTTGGATCAAGGACACACTCCACTCCTGTTTCCTTATTTTGGGTATCTGTCACTCTCTCGGTACCATATTCATTTTGGTCACCTAGTGCCACTCTGACAGAAGATAGCACAAATGGGCAGCTTGAACAAACTCTTCACAATTTTGGAGGCTAGAAGTCCAAGTTTAAAGTGCCGGGGTCTGGGGGCTGAGTGAAAGCCTCAGCCTTGGGCTTCAGGTCTGCCTCTTGCTCCTGGCCCACTGAAACTAGAGGCTTTTCTTCACTCAGGCAGCTATTGGCTGCTGTGGCTGACAAACCCAAGGTTGACAAGTGAAAAGGCACAGTCCCAGTGTGACCAAACCACATGACAGGCCATTAATTCAAGTCCCAAGATCAGCAGAACATGGCAGGCTACTGAATGAAGACTCAGCTACATGCCAAGTTAAAGTGCGCCAAAAAGCTAGAGACCTTCCTCAAAGCTGCTGCTTATATACTGGAAGTAGACCACATCCCTAAAGCAGTTACTCAGCTGCTCCAGTAGATTCCACCATGGAATTGATTGCCAGTCTCACCATGGGAAATAACTACATCCAACTGCCCAGCTACTCAGCCAGGCCCAGCCAAGTCAATAACAACCTTAACTAGCACAGTAATTATAAAACTAATCAAGTTAAAAACATTGAAATAAAATGAATGTATTGAGGTCTTAGTTTGTAATGGAATCTTATAGATTAGAATAACCGTTTTTTTTATTATTGTGATATACATACAATAAAACATTATTTCATCAATTTCCACATGTACTCATTAGTGACATTGATCACATTTTGTAAGTTGTACAACCATTCTTAATAGCAATTTCCAGATTATCCTACCACTATTAACATTCATTTAATGAATTCTACTTTCTCCCCCCTCCTGTGCTTGGTAACTACTAATTGCTTATGGTTTCTGTATAATTACATATTTCTTGTAAGTGATGTCATATAGTATTTGTCCTTTTATGTCTGACTTACTGTATTTTTACACAAATAATGCATGAGTTATACATTTTTGCATGCTATGCCACTCCACCACACATTATTTTCATAAGCACGCTATACCGATATTTTTTACATGCTGCTGACTTCAATTTCAATTTTTCTTTCTGTCCAACGGACTTAATGTTAAGTCTTCATGTGCCTATTGACAGGGAGGCTTGGTTCCCAGAAGCATTCCCTCACCAGCCTACCTTCTAGTTTCTAACGCAGCCCCTCTTTTGACAGGATTCCTTCCCTATTCTGCAAACTGCTTTTTCTAATGCAGTAAGAAATCACTTTTTCCACCCCAGAAGCAGCCTTTGCCAGGGCAATCACCCCCAGCGCAAGAGGTGCACAGGTGTATGCACCCTGAACCAGAGAGACCGCTCAGGTGGGAGAGGCTGGCATGTTATAGCCACATGCATTCTTCTAGCTAGTCAGTGGCACTCAGCCCCTTTGAATCTTTTGCCAGTGCAGACACCATAGGGCAGATGTGAGAACTACAGACATATATCCCTCACTCAAATGAGACAAGTCCAGCTGGCTGCGCAGGGGCCCTATGAATCCAGGCCAGTGCATGCCCACACCTGCACCATCTTGCAACCTGACTTCTCATGGGACCAGCACCATGGGGCCCAGTCACATAAGGGCAACAGGCCCACACCTGTTGCAGAACTAACCCATGTTTGAGCTATGGCAACCCTGTGCATAGCCCCGCCACCTGTCCCTTTGCTCATCTCCTGCGTGATGTACCTGGCCACAGATTGGCTACAAGGAACTCCACTGTTCTCAGGCCCATCTGTTAACTGTCCCAGAGCAAACACACAGTTTCAATTGTTTATTTTCCAATTAATGAATGAGGGTGAATGACACGGAAATTCACTTCTAGAAATGTCATGAGCCGTGCTGTGTATATGTATAGGCAGGCACTCTATACCAAAACTTTTTTTTTTTTTTTTTTACATAATTTAGTCATTTCCAACCATTATATTATTTATGTGTTATTGATGTGTACATGCTATTTGAAAAAAATGATACTCAGCATAGTGTCTTCTAAGTTCATCAATTTTGTGGCATTTATCAGGACTTCATTCCTCTTATTCCTGAGTAATATTGCATTGTGTGTATATGCTACACTTTGTGTATCCATCCATTCATCACTTGATGGACATTTTGATCATTTCCACTGTTTGACTATTGTGAATAATGCTGCAATGTACTTATGTATGCCTCGCTGTTTTCAAATCTTTTGGATATATGCCTACAAGTGAAATTGCTGGATCTATAGTTGCTGCATGTTCAACTTTTTGAGGAACTGCCAAACTGTTTTCCCCAATGGCTGTACCAATTTACAATCCTACCAGCAATGAATGAGAGTTCCTGTTTCTCCACAACTTCACCTATAAACTAACTGCCATTGAGTCGATCCGACTCATAGCAACCACTCCTTGGATTTCCACGGCGGTATCTCTATGGCAGTATGCTTCCCATTCTTCCTTCCAGGGAGTGGCTGGTAGGTTTGAACTGCCAGATTTCTGGTTAGCAGTCAAATGCCTTAGGCACTAAACCACCAGAGCTCCCACCTCAACTCACCTATACGTAGTATTTTCCATCTTTTTGATCAATGCCATTCTAATGGCATGCAATAATATCTTGTAGTGGTTTTGATTTACATATCCTTAATGGTTGATGACTTTGAGCTTCTTTTCATGTGCTTGTTGGCCTCTGCTGAAATATCTATTTTCAGTCCTTCACCCATTTTTTGATTGGGTTGTTTGCTTTTCTTTTTCTTTTTTGGGAAATAATGTTGGACTGAGCATCTAAGAAATCCAAATTCAGCTTTGGATGTAACATCGTTCTGATTGATTTAAAAAATTTTGTCTTTTCAGATGATCTTTGGGTGGTTTCAAAAACCCTAGACTTTGAACTAGATACTTTTATTGCATGCAGTGCTTTCTTTGGACCATCATCTGTCAATGAGGTGGAGCTACTGCCTTTGAAAGGCTATTTCCCCTCTAAATGGCCCACTAACAGTAAGTATTACCATGCCAACATTAATTTATATAAAAAAGAATGATAGATATGGGATGGATGCTGTGTGTAAGATTATTTGGTTAAAACAAGGAAGAAAAAAGGCACCTACCTCTGCTATCATGTACAATGGGTTCCTGAAATGTATATGAAAATTGAAATATATAAACATCTCTGTGGTTCAAATCCCAGATAACTAACAATCTAATGAAATTTTAATCTTTGCTTAAATATGTTTTTTTTTCTAATTGTGATTTTGGGGAAAATTTACAGAGAAAATTCACTTTTCATACAGCAGTTCACACACACTTTGTCTCATGACATTGACTACAATTTACCCCATTGCAACAGCTCCCCTCCCATTTCCTCCCGATAGTTACCTCTTCCCTGTGTCCATCCCTCCGTGCACTCCTGCCCCCTGAGCTGTCTCTCTGTGCATACACAGCCCTTCTATTCTCCCATGATTGTTCCCTCCAAGGAGGGTATCTACCTCAGGTAAATGTTCAACTCATATGCCTGTCTTTTGTTTGGCAGAAAGCCACAGATATGAGTTCAATCCCAGGCCTGAAGGGCATCTAGGGGCCACAGTCTCAGTGGTTCCACCAGGCTCTGTCAGACCAGCAAACCTGGTCCCCCCCCACTTTTTTTTTTAAATGATTTTGAGTTTTGTTCCACATTGTTCTCCCTTTCTATCCAGGATCTCCTACATAGATCCCCCTCCAAGTGGTTGACAGTAGTAGCCAGGTACCATCTAGTTCTGATCTCATAGTCATAAACGCTGAGGATTACATGGTATACCAGTCACTTGGACTAATTGTTTCTACGAATCTTTGGTTTTCTTCATTCTTCTTTGTTCTGGATGAGGAGAGACCCATTGTTGCATCTAGATGTCTGCTTGCAAGCTTTTAAGATCCCAGTCACTGCTCATCAAAGTAGGAGGTGGAACAATGGTTTGTGTAGTATGTTATGCCAATTGAGTTGGATGTCCCCTGTGACTGTGGTCTTGAGTCCACAGGTTCAGTTCAGCAACTGCTCCCTCTGGGTAGCTGGCTGTGACCAAGAAGTGACTACAATTTTGTCCCTTGTCAGCTCTACTATACACCTGGGCATTGTTATAGAACATACAAATACACTTGTAGAACCCTTGTCTGCCAACCCTATACATGGTCTTGGGTACACTCCCCGCTTCATAGACGTACCTACTAGTTCATCCTGTCTGCCCATCTCTCCACCTGTATACCCATGTTTGCGTTCACTGACAACACAGTACTGTTTGTGCAAAAGGGTTCATCTTTATTGTCTGTACCTCCCATGTACCTCTCTATGTCTTCCTCTTCCTCACTGCCACCATGTTGATCACTCACATTTGGTACATTGCCCTTCTCTTCACCCAAATCAATATTTATCTCTACCCATCTAACAGTGTTTCCTACCCTCCCCTCCCCCCCTGGTAACCAACACATAAAATTTCCTTCCATTGTTGTTGTTGTTGTTATTTGCCGTCAAGTCGGCCCCGACTCATAGCGACCTCTCCTTAGGTTTCCAAGGCAGTATCACTTCGGAAGTAGATTGCCCAGCCTTCCTTCCGAGGAGTGGCTGGTGGGGATAAACCTTTCCTTGATTTTTATAATAACAGACTAATACAGCATTGGTCCTTCTGTGATTGACTTATTTCATTCAGTATAATGTCCCCTGAGTTCATCCATGTTATGCAGTGTTTTGCTGATTCTACATTATTCTTTATGGTTGCATAGTATTCCATTGTGTGTATGTACCATAGTTTGGTTATATATTCCTCAGCTGATGGACACCTAGGTTGTTTCCATCTTTTGACTATTGTAAATGGTGCTGTGATGAACATGAGTGTGCATATGTCTGTTCTTGTCATGCTCTCACTTCTTTAGTATATATACCTAGTAATGGAATGACTGGGTCTTAAATATGTTTTTAAAGTTGAACTTTACACAGTATATACTTGATTGTTTAAAAATATAAATATTATAAGAATTTTCACAAATAATTTTTTATTTCACATTCTAATTCTTTGGTTTACTTGAATGTACATTTAATAAATAATTTACTTTTACATTGAGAAGGTCTTGTTGATTTTATGAGATTTTGCAGAGGACTGAGCAAGAGAATGTGATTTTTTTACTTTGAGAGTATTTTATCATCTTTCTTGAGAAATTTTTAATAAAATAAGTATTTTTATTTTATTTTTAATAAAATAAAAAGTAAGGCTAGTAGCCTTACTTTGTGTTAAATAAGGAGATCTTTAGTAAGCTGAATACCTATTCAGTTCTATGAATCTGTAGACTTCTGTGTGCATGTTGATCTCTGGAATAATTTTTAATGATCAAATTTGGTTCATAACTAATTAAAGACACAGTGTTTAATGACACAGTTCTAGTATATCATATACCTTTTTAACTTTTGCTCTTTTCTTTCTTAACTGAGTAAATGTAATCAATTAGCTTGAGCCCAGTAAGAGTCTACTAATTAAGTAAACAGTTGACACTTTTCATATGCATGTTTTCATATATAAATTATTTATAAATTCTAAATTATGTCCTAACCAATATCAGCATTCTAATTTTCTGCTTCTCATGTAGTTCTGTAAAATAATTGAGGTAGAATGCAAAATAATATTAAAAAATTAAAGAAATACTGTTAAACAGGCCATGATAGTATACTGATTAAGTGGAACTATTGGTCTCAAGTGGTGCCATCTCAAAACAATTTTTTTTAATTGAATTTATTTTTTGTTGTTGTTATTGTTGAGAATATCCGCAGCAAAACATACACCAATTCAACAGTTACCACATGTACAATTCAATGGCATGTTTACACTTTTCAAGTTAAACTTTAAAACAGTTGTTCTTGTTCATTTGCTGATGTTTGGAGTCCCAGTTTAAGTTATGCAATTTATGAATGTTGGTATATAAAATATGAGTGAGCAAGTATGTGGTACCTAAATTGCTAAAAGTTTGAGGACATCAGTATGTATTTAAGGGTTTATTTTATGTGATATGATTAATCCGGTAGCTGAACTCTGAGTTATATTGATAATTAATACAGATTCCTTTTTTTAATGGTTCATTTTATTTACATTAAATGTTTATTTTCTATATCCTTTCCACAGTAGTGGTCCATGCATTGTTGGTTTGTAATGCTAGCACAGAGCTGACCACTTTGAAAAACATTCAGAACTACTTTAATCCGGGTACTCTACCTCTAATGCAGCACCTGTTAACAATGTAAGTCATTACTTGCCTTTGGGTCATTGATATTCAAAAGTGGTGATAAGAAGTGAATATAAAAATGCAATAAAACACATTGCATCAATGCTAATAATAAAATTTCAATATTTTTAGAGACTGATATTACTGGCAATAATAAAAAATTCAAAGAGAAGGTTAAATATGTCTTATTTCCCTTTCTTCCAGTTTCTCTATCTAGTTATTGTGGTATAGGTTAATAAATGTTCTGCAAAGTTTTTTCCTTTGTCAAGGGATAATTTGTTAATGATCTTTTGACTATTTTTGACTATTAATTTTATTTTTTATGGATCTTTATGTACCATGGGAGCTCTGGTGGCATAGTGCCTAAGGCATTTGTCTGCTAACCAGGAGGCTGGTGGTTCAAAACCACCAGCCACTCCTCGGAAGGAAGGTTGGGCAATCTACTTCCATAGTGATACTGCCTTGGAAACCCAAGGAGTGGTTGCTATGAGTCAGATCCGACTCAATGGCAGTGAGTTTTTGAGTTTTATGTACTGCAAATATTTAACATTATAAGGAAGCATTTTACAGCTTGAATCCAGTGTGTATATCAATATTAATTTTAATGAAACCTATGTTTCATTTTAAATTTCTCAAGCACTGTGTCCTGTTTAAAAAATGATAAGTGATACTATATTAAATGCATTAAAATGATAGAAAAATGTATTTTCTAATTTGAAATATAATTACCTATCTTGTTTCATTTTTCTCACCATAATGAAGACCTATGTAAAAAGTTAAATATCCTTTGATTCCATGGTTATTCATTCACTTTCAAATTAAGTTAGTCTTTCTAGAAATATGAATAAAACCAATTAGTTCAATATAGTTTAACTCACAATAGAAGCTATATTAATTATCTAAGTCAGCTTTGTATAATAGAGCATAGGCTTTAAAATCAGTCTACCACTTATTAGCTGTGTATTTTTTGGGGGGAGCAAACAGTGAACATTTCTGTGCCTATGCTCAGAATACTTGACTTCATAGTGCTGTTGTGAAGATTACATCGTAAAATGCTTAGCATAATGCAAGCACATAGTAGATACTCAACAAATGTTAGTTCTCTCTTTTTTTACCCTCCTCCAAATTGGGGTAAGTATCCATTTGTGCCCTTAATAAAGTGCTGTCTGCGGGGTTTATAAAGTGAAGGCCAAGATATGAATAGTTTTACTTAACCTATTTCAAAAGTCCCTCATTTTCCTTTGACTTTTTTGGTTACTTTTTTCCTAGGTCTTCACCAAGTACAGTTAGCAACAAGAGAGTCAATAAAAAAAAATTTATCCCTCCAGCGTTCACAAATACTAACACAAAATTTGAAATAAGCCCAGGAACAACATTGCAGTTAGCTAGTGAGCTAATTCAGGTGCACAAGTTAAACAAGGACCAAGCTACAGCTCTAATTCAAATAGCTGAAATGATGGCATCACATGAAAGTGTTGGCATGGAGGAAATGCAACCCCATACCCTACCTATCACGATTATACATGGTAAGAAACAAAAAAGTACACAGGGAGGAAGTAGTTGCAAGTGCTATTACATTGTGGAGATTGCAATGAATGTCACAAAACGATGTATATGAATTGTTGAATAGAAAACCAATTTGGACTATAAACTTTGACCTAAATCACAATTAAAAAAAATAAAATCCCATAGAAATTTTTTTTTAAGAAAGAAAATAGCTCTAATAAATTTTTATGTAAGCTGTTCTTAATGCCTCTTTGTAATTTCCTAGTTAAGCTTTCAGAATAACTCTAAATAGACTTTTTAAAACTGAACCTACATTAGTAAAGTGTTACCTGAACTGAGATCAGATGTGAACACCCTAAAGGGGAGAGTTGGCAGTATGTCTGATGAATGAGTAACTTTATTCACAGAGTATCCAGATTTGATCTAAATGTCTATGTTTTGCTCTATTAGAGAAGACTGCAACTCTGATCAACAGCATTTTTATTAATTCCTGTTGTTGTTGTTGTTGTTATGTGCCGTCGAGTCCAACCCGACTCATAGCAACCCCTCCTTGGGTTTCCTAGGCAGTATCACTACAGAAGTAGATTGCCTCATCTTCCTTCCGAGGAGTGGCTGGTGGGTTTGAACTGCCAGCCTCCTGGTTAGCAGTCAAGTGCCTTAGCCACTATGCTACCAGAGCTCCTTATTAATTCCTAGTTTGGTCATTCTTCAGTCAATCACAGAAGCTATTCCAAACTTTCATTCTTCTCATGTCCCCATTCTTGCCACTGCCCAACTCTGCCTCTGAAATGGACCTTGCTTCTAAGACAGGAAATTGCGTTCAGAACAGAAACTCTCTCCAGTGTCCTGCTTTCTTTTTCCAGCTTACATAAGTGTAGACCCACTCTTAACATCTTCTGGTTCTGTCCCAGTAAAGAAGCTATACTTCCTCCTATTCAGTTAGTATCTCTATACAGAATCTTTTACCTCTTTAACCCATCAGCATCCTCTCTCTGCTTAAATTTCACCTTTCTCCCTTTTTCTTGATATGTAAGCATACATATTCAGATCTCTTCCAGCTTAAAAAAATAAATAAATAAACATCAGATCTGTACTATCTCCAGCTATTCTCTTATCTTTTTTTTTTTTTTAAATTTTATTTTGATTTGGGTGAAGATTTACAGAGTAAATTCACTTTTCATACAGCAGTTCACATATACTTTGTCTCATG